GGGACGGGGAGGGGCGGGGGGTGGCGGCGCCTCCCAGGGGGATGACAAAAGGCCCAAGAGCCGTGACGTTCTGGGGCGGCTTGCTGCCCTGCAAGGCAGGGTGCAGGGTGGCCTGAAGGGCATAGATGGAGGGGAGGAGACAGGTGGGTGGGAGGAGTTGGAGGCAGTCCTTATCTTACTGAAGCTAGGGGCTGGGAGGGACCAAGCCCAGAATGGCTTGGATTGGGGTGGGTACTCATTTAATGACCTGTGATTCTTGGTTAATGATGGCAACTGGGAATGCCGGGATTGCAGTCGCTAAGCAATGCAGTCACATGACGTCTCGCTTTATGATCACCTTATTTAGTGATGGAAATTCCGGTCCCAATTGTGATTGTTAAGCAAGGACTACCTGTATATATATTCTGTTTCTAAGGGGTGATTATCGTTTTTCAATGGTTTTTCATGGTTTTGAAGTGAGGCCTTTCCTGTGTGTCAGCAAGAAAATATTGCTATAAAATTTCATAGTTAAATCGTTCACCCTCTGATTGACAAGAATTAGTCTTAAAAGGTGTGGTAATCAAACTTTCAACTATTTTGAGAACCATCTTGATCCTAATAAGTTTTTGTGGAAGTCCTGTAAAGGGATAGCCTGGCCGCAGTCAGCAGGAGCCCTTCCTTCCCTTTGCTGTTCTTTCCCCCTGGGACTTTAAGGTAGCATGAGAAGTATGGAGCTCCAACTATAAAGAGAAGACACCTTTGGCACCTGAGCATTGGTGTATGGGTCTCTGCATTAGAAGGAGATTCTTGTCTTGTGTCAGGTGCAGGCAAGAGAGAGGAACAGGTGCCAGGATAAAGTGTATCTATGGCTTCAGAACAAGTTTGGGCATGAACTCCAACAACAGTGGAATACCTGAAAGGAAAAGTAGAGTCTGCAGCCACTCCATGTCCACCAGAGACACTGATAGCTTATAGCCAGCCAGCAGCTAGTAACACACTTTCCTTCCCCCACACTGCCCCTGAAGGATAGTATAAAGCCTATGCACTGGCAGCAGTTCAGAACAGCAGACGGCAGTGTTGAGCTGATAGTAGTAGAATGCCAGCTAGCAACAGAAGCCAACTAACTCCAAGGTGGCTAAATGGTGTCTAAAGAGATACTTATAGCTCAGGCAAGCATACTTTTAAGACAGAGGAGGAAAGTACTGTGAATGGGATTCTTTAGAATTTAGGTATATAATATATGTAGGAATAGATGCATAGATAAATAATACATGTTTAGTGCTAAGAGTTAAATGGCAAGTTAAGTAAATACCATAAAGTTTATAAGCCAGTTTTGTATAATAAAGCTTGCCTGGAAACACGGGGAAGATAACACTATACTCCTTATTGCTGGCCTGCACCTTTTTCCAAAGAAGCCCTCACAAATCCCACCAACATGTAGCACAGCTTGCTTTCAAAATAATACTTGAAGTGCAATATCTGTTTGTTGAAGAGTCATGGACAAATACGTTTTAGCAACCATGTATTTTACAGAATCATTCTCCCAAATTAAAATGGCTGTTTGAAAGACTAGTACTTTCACTGGTTTGGGCTACCCTTATACCTTGCATGAACCAAAGCAACATTTTGATTCCTACTTCATTTTCTTGTTCAGTAGCTGCCCATAAATTAAAATTGGAAATGAGATCCCCTTTGGCAACAAGGTAATGACAAAGACTCCCTTGAGCTGAGCTCAGTTCTTGGTGACTTAATGGGCACCAATGTTGTTGAAATATAAATTACAGACTAAGATCTTATGGTCATAATATTTGGGTTTTTTTGAGTTTAAATCATTGACTTTTTTTTCTCCTTGCTGTTCAGGTTTCTTGTTCCAATTTCAAGTGTCATTTGCAATGATATTGCTGCTTATATATTTGGATTCTTCTTTGGCAGAACTCCATTAATTAAGGTAAATCAGTAAAAATACATATTTTGAAATATGGACATTGGTCACAAGGCTGTTCAGAGAGAATTTTTAAATACCTCCAGTACTATTTATATATTCTTCTCAGACTGCTTGATATCTGAGTGCCATTGCCTCATCCAGTCCATGTAGGAAACATCTCTGGTTTTGAGAAATACTTTGTGATTTGAGAGATGTCTGCTGTTAAGTTTTTTTAAAAATTTGTCAGAGGGTTGGAAAGAGACATGAACAGTGTTTTTCTGACAACGAAAATGTCTTTATTTTTACAGTGCAAATAAAATAAATAATTTGTGCTTGTATTTCTAACATGCCGTAGTCTTAGCTTAACAATCTAATATACAGTACATTTTTATACAGAACTTCTTACAGTTCCTTAACTGTTTCAGTCTCTGCTTTCTTCCTACGGCTTCAGTCCTTGGTCCTTGATAAATGTATGGAACCTCCAGTCCATGCAGAACACAGGGCCGATATCAGTCGGTGTTGATTGGGAATGAGAGATCCTGCCCTCGGCCCCTGGTATGTGGGGTGCCACAGGGCTCGGTGGTCTCTCCACTCCTACATCTACATGAAACTGCTGGGGGAAATCATCTGTTGCCATGGGATGAGGTATCATCAGTATGCTGATGATGTTTAATTGTAACTCTGCCCCTGGCAAGCTAAATGATGCTGTTGAAGTGCTGTCTCAGTGCCTGGAGGCTGTGGGGGTCTGGATGTGGAACAACAGGCTTCAACTGAAACCTGGCAAGACTGAGTGGCTTTGGGTTTTAGAGCCTTCTGATTCTGGGACTTCACCATCTCTGGTACTGGATAGGGTTGCATTGCCCCAAACAGACCCAGTGCAAACTGGGGGTCCTCCTGGACTCATGACTTGTGCTTGAGAAGCAGGTGGCAGTCGTGCCCAGCAGGGCCTTCATGTTGTGTGCCAGTTGTGCCTGTTCCTTGATTGTGAGGCTTTACTCATTGTTATGCATGGGTCATCTCCTGAATGGACTATTGTAACCCGCTCTACATACGGCTGCCTTTGAAGAGTATCCAGAAGCTTCAGCTGGTGCAAAATGCTGCAGCATGGGCAGTTATGGGTGTTCATAGAAGGACACACATTATACCTCTGCTCAGTGAGCTAGATTGGTTGCCAGTTTGTTTCCGGGTGCAATTCAAAGTGCTGGTTTTGACCTTTAAAGCCGTACATGGCATGGGGCCAGGTTATCTGAGGGACTGCTTCTCCCGATTACTTCTATCTGTCCCATCAGGTCCAGCAGGAGAGGCATGTTGCGGGTCCCGTCCATTAAGGAGTTCGATCTGACGGGACCCTGGAGATGAGCCTTTTCTGCTGTGGTGCCCGCTCTCTGGAACATTATCCCCCCTGTGGTGAGGTTAGCCCCAACCTTTATGGCCTTTTGGAAAAGCCCTCAAAATTTTTTCATCAGGCCTGGGGATCCTCACACGTTGGTTGCACCATGTATGACATCTTAAGGAACCCTCTCATAATCTGTTTTTACTTATGCTGATTATTTAATTGTTTTAATTGTTTTTATATTTGCTTTTAATAGTTGGTTTTATTGCACACTGCCCAGAGTCACCTTGTGTGAGATGGGTGGCCATATAAATTTGATAAATAAATAAACATGCATGAAAAACGGCACAAAAACCTGCTTTTGTTTGATAGACTTGCCCCTTATAAATCTTGTACTAGAAGGCAGATTTAAAAGTATCTTAATTAGTCCAATAACTTTCTAGCTGTCTATGTGACACTTTCATAGACTTGGTAAGCAAACAAAACTCTAACCTTGAGATAATTATAACCCCATCTTAATCATGGCAGCTGACCCTGCCACAAGTCCTGGTCTTCTTTCTGGAATTTTTTCACATGATGCTTAGGCTGAACTCCTTCAGAGCAAACCCTTTCTGGTTCTGTGGTGTGCTTTGAGTGGGGCTGATGTATTTAAGAATGAGTTCCATTCCCAAGGTCTGTCCTTGTCCTGTCGAATTTGTATGTAAGCTGGAACAGTATTATTGTATAATACTGTATAAGTAGTATTGCATAATTAACTCGAACCATTGTGTATTTAACTCAAATAATTGTGTATTTAACTCAAATTTTGCTATAGTAGGCTCCATTCTTAACTATGAGTCATCCTTAAACTGGGCGTTCTTAATTCAGGGACTGTCTGTATTCCGTCTTTCATATATGTCCATTCATACCACAAAAGTACATAGCATAACATCCGGGGTGGAGGGAAGGAGGCAAATTATTATATAACTGCATAGTAACAGTGGTAGCAATGTGGTCACACATCTGTCTGGTGTCTCTTTCTTCTGTGGAGATGTACATTTTTTTCTGGGGAATTGAAGATTTGGCTAAGTATCTATTCTTTACAACATGGTTGTTTTAGACAGGTTTCATATATTTCCTTTTAGTAAGCTTATCCACCTGAGATAGAAAATCTATAGTTTAATCTATAGTTTATCTGGAAGATAAGCTCCCTAAACTGTAATTTGACTAGCTGGAATCAAAGATTTTTCCTATATAGCTGGTTAACGGTTTATTCTGATTGTTATAATTCTACTTGATTGTAAACAGATGGCTTGGTTTATTCTATTCCTAGTTATTTTCTATACTTGTTTAATATTACAGTGACACAAAGTATAAATAGAGTTGTTGTGGTGATACTATAGTTGTGTATATAATACAGATTTTTGTAGATGATCAGGATACATGGATTATTGAAAATATAAGCATCATTATTTCTTACTGATATTACCAACATTCCGTCTCCAAATTATGATTGCTAGAAAACTTAATCTTATTACCCTCTAGAAATATCATTACTCAAATCAGACAGATACAGTGGTGCTTAAAAGTCTGTGAACCCTTTTGAATTTTCAATTTTTCCTAAAACATGTTCTGTTCTCCACACAACTAGATAAATTAAACAAATGAATGAAAAGCATTATACTTGCTCATTTATCTATTGAAGAAAATGATCCAAAGCTACATATTTGTGTGTGGCAAAAGTATGTAAACCTTTGTTTTCAGTAAATGGTATGCCCCCCTGGACAGCAATAACTGGAACTCAGCATTTCTGATAACTGATGATCAGTCCTGCACATTAGCTGGAAGGAATTTTAGTAAGGAATTCCTCCTTACAGAACAGCTTCACTCAGGGATGTTGGTGGGCTTCCTTACATGAATTGCCTGCTTCAGGTCCTCAGATTTCTATAAGGTTAAGGTCAGGACATTGACTTAGCCATTCCAAAACATTAACTTTCTTCTGTTTTAACCATTCTTTGGTTGTACAACTTGTATGTTTTGGGTCATTGTCTTGCTGCATGACCCACTTTCTCTTGAGCTTCAGTTCATGAACAGATACCCTGACATTTTCCTGTAAAATTGGCTGGTACAATTCAGAATTGATCGTTCCATCAATGATGGCAAGCTGTCCTGGTCCAGAGACAGCAAAGCAGGCCCAAACCATGATACTACCACCACCATGTTTCACAGATGAGATAAGGTTCTTATGCTGGAATGTAGTGTTTGGGTTTTGACAAACATAACGCTTTCATTCAAGCCAAAAAATTCTGTTTTGGTCTCATCCGTCCCCAGAACATTCTTCCAATAGCCTTCAGGCGTATCCATGTGATCTTTTGCATCAATGTTCTTTTTGGAGTGTAGTGGTTTTCTCTTTGCAACACTGCCATGCACACCATTGTTCTTCAGTGTTCTACTGATGGTCTCATGAACACTGATATTTACCAATGCAAGAGAGGCCTTTAGTTCCTTAGACGTTATCCTGGGGTTCTTTGAGACTCCCGGAGTATTACATGCCTTGCTCTTGGTGTGATCTTGGTTGGTTACCATCCTGGGGAGGGTAATAATAATGTTGGATTGCCTCCATTTGTACACAAACTCCCTGACAGTAGACTGGTGAAGACCATACTCTGGAAATAGTTTTGTAATCTTTTCAGCCTGGTGAGCATCAACAGCTGTTTTTTGGAGGTCCTCAGAAATCTTTGTTCAAGCCATGACACATTTCCACATACCTGTGTTGTAAAGATCATACTTCGATAGAGAATACCCAGAATTCTGTTCTTTAAATAAGGCAGGACCTCCCACACTCACACCTGACTATCATCCCATTGACTGAAACACCTGACTAATTTCCCCTTCAAATGAACTGATAATCTTAGAGATTCACATAGTTTTGCCACACCCAATTATGTAGCTTTGGATCATTTTCCTCAATAAATAAATGAATATATAGTATAATGTTTTTGACTCATTTATTTAATTGGGATCTCTTTATCTAGTTTTAGAACAGTGGAGAACAGATCAGGTTTTAGGTCATATTTATGAAGAAACATTAAAAATTCAAAGTGTTCACAAACTTTTAAGCACCACTGTATATATTCTTGTTTAGCATTTCACAGGCATCTGTTTGATCATGTTAGTGATTGCATTGCTGACATCAGATATATTTCTCTCACCCATCTTATTAAAGGTTTTTAACATGTGGATATTTGGATATGTAAAAACTGAGCATTCTAATTTGTTTAATAGCTGTTATATACTATTGAAAGATAGTTGCAGCTTTCACTGAGTAAGTGTCCTTTTTAGTATAATTGTATCTCAGTTTTCCTGTTGCTTGGAAGAAACTTAGAAAAAATAAATAAGTCAACATTTTCTAGAATAGTAGTATGTTTGCAAGAACAGGAAAGGGTCTTGTGCCACTTGATGCTTTTAATTTCTTAATTTCTCTCTTGTTTAGCTCTCTCCCAAAAAGACCTGGGAAGGCTTCATTGGTGGCTTCTTTACCACAGTTGTGTTTGGATTTATTGTAAGTGGATGTGGTCTCTTCTCTCATTAATGTTGTGTTAGTCGGTGCTGGAGTTGAAACTGGCATGAAGGACTAGAATTGCTGCTAATCTGTAGCTTTTAAGATTAAACAATAAGTTAAAACTTAATGCTTTACCCTATTACTGAGGTTTATGGCTGTTAGATTAACATGGCTGTAATTACAATGGTTGATTATTAGTATACTGTGTAACTATGCCATCTGTAATAACCATAATAAAAATCACTCTTGAAACTAAGAGAAGTAACCCAAATTCAGGGAGACAATATGTGCACTTGTTTATTCAAATTATTTATAGACTGTTTTTTTAGGGCACAGCACTCACATGACTATTGAGAATATAAATAAGATACATTGTGATAAACTGCTATATAATGTAACTATTAAACGTTTCATTAAGTTCAGTAAAACTTCTAAGACTCCAAACCCAACACTACAGGGACATTTCAGAGAAAGTCAGGCTGGAATATAGTAAAGGCCTTTAAGTAATCTTAAAATATAATGACCTCATGTAGTTCGAAGCAGTTTCAATGGCCAGTGGATCACTGCTGAGAAAACTTTATCTTTTTGCCAGCCACCCTAATTACTTTTACTGATAGGCATCAAGTCAGAAACCAAAAGTGACCTTAAATACATGGTTGGGAACATTACTGCTTTGCAACAGTAATGGTTTTCAATAGTAATATAATTTAGTATAATTTATAAATGGATGATATTATGCCCTCACATTGACAGATACATAATATTGCTCTTGATATTACCGAATGGAGTTCTGCAGCCATAAATAGGGATACAGAGAACAGCTGGTTTTGAATAATAAACTGAGTCCATCAGGTGTTCTTGCTGTTCCTGGGGTGGCTCATGAAATAAGATTTATTTTGTCCTAATTGAGTGTGAGGAAGTGGGTGTTTTCCCTTGGTTGCATGATTTTTGGACATTCTACCTGATGTGAATCCTAAAGAGACAGTTATTGTTAAGAATTGTGCTCTGACTTAGAAATAGACGAGGCCTAAAAGACATTGACTAATTTTAATGCTAATTGGAAGCCCCTTTTGGACTTTTTGTTGGAAACAGAAAAAAATGAAATTACGATATATGGATTTGATGATTAGTAAAATTAATAGATTATAAAAAAAAACGGATGTGAAATTGTAATCCTAAAGTAAGAGTTTAATGTATGTTTTACTTATATCTGCTTTAAAAGAAGTTGGAAGTCATTCTTTTTTTTTTTGTATTTCTGTTTCTGTTTATCTTTCTCCTTTCAGCACTTCTGTTCTCCTTTCTTTTTATTCTTTTCTTCTGTTTTTTTCTTGATTATTAGTCCTTGTTAGTTTATATCATTCTGTTTTTAAAATTTAATACAGTTATCATAAAAAAAAGAAATAGACAAGACTTGTCCTTTGTCTACACACTAGCACTCAATATTATAAATGTGTGGGCATTTGTTTTTTTGGTTTGGTAATAATTCAGAGATATCAAGGGTAACAAGTTTAGCCAGCCGGTCAAGCTGTCTCTCTCCCTCCCAAGCCTTCTTTCCAGTCACCATTTACCTAATTTCAGAGGATATAAAGGCTTGGAGGACTGGAGAAACTCGTAATTACACCCCAACACCCACAGGAAGCCCTTAATCAGAAACATCTTATCGATGCCTGTTGTCCTTCCAGGTTGCTTATCTTCTGGCACAATACCAGTATTTTGTATGTCCTGTGGAATACAATGGTGAAACTAATAGGTTTGTCACAGAGTGCGAACCATCGGAACTTTTCCAGCTGAAGAAGTACTCCTTACCACCATTGCTTCAAGTTGTTCTGGGAAAGGTAAGTAAAACTAAATCCTTAATGAAAAGCTAGATCTTAATCATTCAGAAAGTTGGATACAAAAAGAGCAAAGTATCTAAAATGACCAGCTCTCCTTTCCTGTTAGCACTTAGAACGAGCAAAATAACAATGCTAGGAACAAGCATTTCACCCCATTTCCCACAGGTACGTGAATATATGACAAAGAAAATTGCTGTTAAGTTTTTCTTTTATGATATTCCTCTCCCTCTCCCTCTTGCAGAAGGTTGAGACCTCATTTGACCCATTATAGCAGAATAGGCAGAAAGCAAGCTCCGTTTTGCACATTAAAGGACTTCGATACCAAGATACGAAACAAACCTATCCAGTTGATTGACCTCTGGGTTTAAGAAGGAATTCACCACTACCTCTGAGAACTTTCTTGCAGCTGGAATGCCGAATTATGTGGCTTTCATTTAAATAACAAGACTATGATTCTGGTTCAGTTTAGTATAGTGTTTGAGACCCTGATTATACACATCTTTCATCTGCTGGACAGAGCCTCAGTTACTTTGCTAGTTTCCATATGATCAGATGATGAAAGTTCCATCTTACCTATTTATATGAATTTGGTGATGCTGATGGGGCAAAAAACTGGTAATTAAGCTGTGTGGTTTGGGTGAAATCTTCTCACTGCTTCTGGCCTAAGTTAGCCTCAGAAGAGGATTCACCTTTATTATATGTTCATAAGGAACATATGAGCTCCTCTGGATGATGTATCTCCAACTTTTGCTCCAACTTTTACTATTGCTGCCAAGGTTATTTCCTGTTTGCACAATTAAGTTGCCAATTTTGCTTGAAAGGTTTTAATCCTTTAATGTGCTAAATGTATGACTATAAATTTCTCTATGTTAAATTAATGTCAAATAAATGCTAATAAGAGCTAATGATTATGACATTGCAGGAAACTGCAAATATGTATCCATTCCAGATGCACAGCATTGCTTTGTCAACATTTGCATCTTTAATTGGGCCATTTGGAGGTTTTTTTGCTAGTGGATTCAAAAGAGCTTTCAAAATCAAGGTGAGTACATAACCTAGTATGACTTTTTATAATACACATTTTAAAGAAGAATTGTTTCCCCAGTTACTAGAGAACATGCTTTTGAATTAATATTATTAATTGACTACTGCAGTGGTAATCAACTTTTAACTCAATAGGTTAAAAGACAGCAACAATGAAACCTCATAATGTAATAGACTAATGGGGGGGAAGGGATGTCTGTTATTCACAAATGTCTGTTTGATACAAAAGCATGCAAACATAGCAATTTATGTCATTTGGGTAATGAAATCATTATGCAAATTAAGTCACTTGTATCAATTTATACCATTTGTGTGATGGCATCATTATGCAAATGGCATAAATTGATACAAAATATAATTTGGATAATAATAACATCAATATGCAAATAGACAAATTGATACAAAATGATGTCATTTGCATAATGACGTAATCACACACATTTTGTAAATTATATCCATTGGAATTCCATGCATTGTCCATTATACTGAGATCTGCTAAATCAGAGTTTCACTGTGATAACATTCAATCAGTTGGCAATCCTAGTAAATAGTCCTAACTGTGCCATGTCGTTAAATACTTAATATAGGGACATCCTTTTCTCTTTAAGGATTTTGCTGATACTATTCCTGGCCATGGTGGAATAATGGATCGTTTTGATTGTCAGTACTTGATGGCTACTTTTGTACATGTCTATATTACCAGTTTCATAAGGTATGTTTCGGTAAGGTGTCATTTTAGAGTTAATTGGAAAAAATGTAAACAAATGCTTTTATATCAGCCTTGTCTCAAATGGTGGAGCTGTGCCAAATTAGCATTGACACTGAATAAGCAATTAACTATTCCTTTGGACTCCAAAATGGGTGGGGAAAATTGCAGCTAACAGGCTTCATACGGTTCCCCAGAAACCCATTTCTACACAGAAGTCCCCTGAGAATGTGGTGTTGAACCTCAGTCAAATGGCCAGGTTTGGGTGGGAGGCCTCTGGGAAGCAAACTCTTTAATTTTGACCTATAACCCCACCTCCAGAAACCCTGAAAAACAGCCTGAAATTAGGCTGGTGAATTTCAGCCATTTTGCCACTAAAAACTGGCAACATAATTGGGAATGGAAGTGGCTTGCCTTCCAGAGACCCACCATTCCCGTTGTTGTTGTTCAGTCGTTAAGTCGTGTCCGACTCTTCGTGACCCCATGAACCATATTGCGCCAGGCCTTCCTGTCCTTCACTGCCTCC